TGTGTGTGTGTGTGTGTGTGTGTGTGTGTGTGTGTGTGTGTGTGTGTGTGTGTGTGTGTGTGTGAAGATCATAGGCCAATAGCAATGTCTTCTTGAATCTCTCTTCACCTTATTTTTTGAGATAGGGTTTTTCATTGAACCTGAAGTCAACTGATTTGACTAGGTTGTCTAGCTAATGAGAAAACTTCAGGGAATAACCCTTCCAGCTCTGTGCCCACAGCTAGGATTAGAGACCTACCCTTGTATTTGGCTTATATGTGGGTGCTGGAGATCTAAATTCAGGTCCTTATGCTTGTGTATCAAGCACATAACTGAATAAGGCATCTCCTCAGTCCCTCAAATATTTTAGTTGCAATGGTAGATTCTGAAAGGCAAAATTAATAAAGAGAGTAAAGAAGACAGTTCTTTTAAACAGAGTCACTCTTGAACTATAGATTGGTCTTCCTTAGCCTTCTGAGTACTAAAACTACAAGTATGAGCTAACAAGCTTGCTTTAAGGAAAATGTTTCATAATAGAGCACTGCAGCTACTATGGGAAATAGAGATACTTTAAGCCAAAAAAGTTTCCTCAGTGGCCCTTAACTCCTGCAATGTTTGAAGCTTTTAGACTCACTGACTTGAAAGACTTGATCTGGTACTTAGGTTTTTCAGAGCATTCCCTTTTTTGGTGGTAGTGGTGGATGGGTTGAAGCAGCAAATGGCTATGAATCATTTCTTTCCTGATTAGGCAGAGAGAACAGGCTCTTTGCACAGACAGAAAATGAGAGAGTCACTTTGAGAGGAGTGGATTCTGAAGAGAGGGTGAAAGACTTTCCTCATGTTTCAACTTTCAGGAAGGCATCAGTGTGGTAGAAAGGCCTGAAAGTGGTTCAGGACCATGGAAGCATCAGTGCTGAGCCCTACATCCTGGGAAAAACGAAGGGCCTGGCTACGACAGAGCCGTAACTGGCAAACCCAGGTCCTGGAAGAGGAGGCTGCAGCTGCCCTTCAGGATGCACTGGATCCGGAGCCTTCCAGCCTGGATGATGTTTTCCAGGAAGGTAAGAAGCTGCTGGGTATCACACAAATACTCACTGTGTCTTGCACAGGTCTGCAAAGGATGGAAAGTGGCCTCTGTTTAGAGTAGGACTTCACAGAGGCTCATTATGACTCCTTTCAGTGAGTGTAAGGAAGAGGTACAATATAATATGATATGTGAATTGTGTGAGGAGGAGGCAGGCATATG